AATAGAAACAGCAATCGGTCGGCCACAGAATGGCTTGCTCTGACTCTGTATACTAAATAGGTCTCTTGTAGTCTGGAACCTGAATAACATTTGCTCCCTGATTTAGATGTGTACGTTTTCTTTGCTACAAGCATGTGGTTCATGGGTTGTTTTGAATATTGAACACAGAAAACAGAGGCTTGTGTGTTTCTAGGGAAACCATGTATATTCACATAATATATATTTGCTGGCTTTATGTGACTAAATTTGGCCTCTGTTTGTATGTGTGTGATTTTAAAATGTATTTTTTTCAAAGTTTCTGTTATTTGGATATCTAGGGTTTCTCACTGCACCTGCAATGAGCAGACTGCATTTGTATGCTTATGAATATGGGGCTTGAGTATAAATTATTTACTGGTACTTTATGACTGGCATCATTTTACTAGTCATAGATAACTTGATGACATTCCCCAATCTGATGCCCTACAGATGTGTTAAAGTATGAATCCTATTATCCACTAGCCAGCATGATAATTGATCCCAAAATAATACATCAATGACTTTTTGGGAAAGGGGCATAAAGAATAAAAATCAAGTAACTGAAATTACCACTGCTTCTATGTATGGACCAGTTAATTTAAGCCAATTTGGGGAAATATCCAGGGTTCAGTTTTAAACATACTTTAAACTCTTTTATGGAACTTTGAAGAGAATGTGCTTAGGACCACAAGCAAAGTCAGCTTTCCTGAGAATCAAGAAGGCTGTTCGACAAATAAGTAGTAAGAGATGGGTATATATTACTTTTCAAGAATGCCAATGAAGAACAATGGACTTACAGATCAAGAAAGCCACTGAACTGATTGCAAGATAGTCAGTCTTTATTCTGTCTATTTAGAGCAATTCCAAAATTTGCTTGGATTTAATTTTCTCCTAAAACTAGAAGATGTGCATCTCCTTTTTGATTTTGCTACATTAGTCAGTTATATAAGAGTAAACAAAGGTAGTGTTAGCTATGCCAGTGATGAACTAAACCAGAATACATGAGGAAAAATAATATTTCAGTTTACTTTGATTGCCTTGAATGAAAGGCAGTCTGGTAATTTCAAATACTGTTTCTTACTTTAAGATGTCTCCCTCCAAGTGTGGGGCTCAGAACAATTGCCTTATCTTAAAAAAAAAGGTCCCAATGACACACACACACACACACAGTCTACAAACTAAGTGTGTGGCTAAAGTTAATATCTAAGAACTGTCCTCCAAATCCTCAGGAAATGCAGGGAAATGCTTCATTGCTTGCTGTTGCTAGATTTCAGGGTTTAGTCAACTTCAGTTGTAGAACTGAGTTACCTTAAGAGTTTGGAGGCTCTTTGTAGCCTCAGCACTCACTGATGACACTGACAGAAGGTGTAAAGAGGAAGTTTGTCTGCCTTGACTGGGGTCTTAAAATAGAAAACCGGAAATGGTTAGAGCTGTTTCTGCAATTAGGCCCACCCATGATGAGAAAGGAAACTTTCAGTCCCCAAAGAATCACTACTAGTAGAATCACTAGTACAGATATAGGTGAAGTGTTTTGAGTGGACACATGATCAGATGTATTTTGCAAAATATCCAGCATGATCAGTCCAATTGTATTTTTGTTAAATAAAATCTTATATGGACTGGAATTTATTAGTTTGCATTTTGGTTCTGAAAGTCTAATGTAGTAATGACTTCTGTAACTTTCTCTATAACTCCCAGTGAGGTATGGATTTAAGTCTCTAATAAGAATCTGAAGAAAGTGCTTTATTGCCTCACCTTCATGAGAGAAGAAAGGTTTGGGTGTCAGCAGCATATGATTCAGGGGCTTTGGGTCAGTTGAACAGTGCCATGTTTTTAGACCTCCCAGCTACTACCAAGGACATTGGAAGGCTTTGTTTTATCCTTTCCACTTTTTGCCTTTATCCCCCTCCCCTTCTGCATGGAAAATTATTTTTCAGCACCAGCACAGCAACCACCCAAACGGTTTCTGCCCCTTTTAATCCCCTCCATATGGCTGCAGGGGAATTGACACCCGCCCCAGCAGCCAAAGACAGTGTGCCTAGAGAGAGACCCATTTTCACCACCAGGTAAGTTGTTTGCACAAAATGGAGGGCATTGGTTGACTGAGGAGGTATTACCTTAATCCCAAACATGACTGTTTGAGCCTTGATCTTATCTCTTTTGGATAAATTGGTAGGGTCAATTAGCTGGGATTAACTGGGTATCTCCACAACCCAGTTAAGCATGTTGTTCAAAAAGCCAGTGATTCTTCTCCTTAATTGCTATCCGATGGCAAATATGCTAAGTAGAGGCTGCTTAATGCAGTTCCCCTACCTGGCATCCCCTAGATGGTTTGGAATATGTCCCACCATCCACAGTGCTGCAAGCATGCCAGTTAGTAGTTGCAGTCCAGTCTAGGTAAGAGAAGCTTGATCCAGTGAGATGCATGTTGACAAACATTTGCTGAGAACTGAAAGGGCTTCTTTTCCAAGCACGATTCTCACAGATTCTTTAGGAAGAATTAGAGCAACTGAACCATTTCCCACTTAGGATCAATATACCTCAAAGTACATTAGGGTGGAAACATCTTATTAGTCTGTTCTTTCTAACTGCCTTCCTGTGATCTGGCAAGATGGTAGGCTTTTTTCTTTAGTATCAGTGAAATGTGCTGTTGGCTAATTACATAAGAGTCTGCTGAATCTGTTTCTGGTGGGAATCATCTCTTACACATGGTTCCGTGGTATAGCTGGAAAATCGTTAGATACTCAGGAATGAATAAAAAGTGAATTACTTGGGAAGGCCAAAAAAAAAAAAATCACCAGTGGATGAAAGTGCCTGGCACATTATCCCACATCTTAGTTTGAAGCCTTCTAACTCTTTGTAGGCACACAATAATTTATTTTTAAAAATCCCCAGTTACAAGAACATCAGGACAATGAAAGAGTGTCTGTGCCAGAAATGTACAATATGGAGAGAGGGAGGGAGGGAAGTTGGCTTTTGAGTTATATGCCAGAGCTATGCTGTCAAATATGAATGAGCCCTGAACAAAATCAAAATGTGATTAAATTTAAATTTAATAAATGCAATTACTGAATTTAATAATTCCTATTTTTGTCATGTTAAAAATTGTAGTTTGACAGCAACATTTAAAGGGGCTCTGGAGGCAACACCCAAAACTTCAGCAAACTAAATGCAGCCTTGGGACTGCTACACATCTATCCCTGTTTTAGACATTCACTGTATGAGCCTGTGAATCCTAACGTCTCTAAAATGTCCTGAGAGCTTATATTGATTTTGTTTCAACAGATGGACATGGCTGCTTCTCTAAAAAATTTTTAAGCCCAGGCCTTGTCTCTTGAATGTCTTGTGAGTATGTGTGTGTATGAGCATATCAATGTTTAAGAGGGAAGTGTTAGCACATGTTGGAATAACCACTGGTATGAATCCACCCACATTTCAAAAGATTGCAGTGGTGGCACTTCTTGTTGTGCAGGTGAGGAGAAACTGATGCCATTAATCTTTGCTTGGGATCATTGGGCTCATTCTCAAGTACAAATGCAGGACTTCCATGGCGCAACCCAGCCTGTATGCTCTAGGGAGGCAAGTTGATGTGGGACTATGGAATAACTAAGCAACAAAGGCATTTTACAATGTTGGCTTGGCCATAAAGCCCTTGGACCAAAGGCACTGGATAATTGCCTCAACACTGGGCAGAATGCACTGGGAACCTGGCGTGTGGAAAATATGGCAGGGGGACAAAGCCACTAAGTCCAAGCGGCTCCTGGCAGGATGGCGGTGCCTGTTTCGAGTTTTGAAGCTTTGAGATGAAAAAGAGGTTTGAGATGAAATTGGTCAGGGAGAGCCTGTGACAAGAAAGTTTCTTTATCAGACCCTGGAGAACTCTTTGAAGATATTATCAGATATTGCAGGTATGATAATACCTGACTTGACTCTACTGGCTTCATTTCCAGCAAAGGGAGCAAACATGTTAGCAGACCTGTAGTTTCAGGGCAGGAGGGAAGAGACAACACATTCCACTTTCTAATTCTTTCAAATATTTGCAGGTATTGTCAGTTCTGGCGAGGCAAATAAAGCAAGTCTATCTGAGGTATGTTTCTACGTGATGGAAATTGGCAGGTTTAAAAGGCCTGTTGCAGAGACCTGGCTAGGTATATAGAGCCTGTAATATAAATGGTTACCTTATTGTGGTCTGCTTCCTGTGAAATCTTCCTCATGAGTTTTCCTCACGCCCGCTAGAACATACTGAGGTAACCAAGACCTTCCTGATTTATGGCAGAGTCTCAGAGTGTTGTGTTCAGCGGTTTGTCATGCTGTATTTTCTGATGCCGGGCCTTCACAATGTCATTTCCTGTGCTTGGAAGCTAGGATGGGTCGATACAACTGTATTAATGACAATTTCCCACAGGTAGCAGTCTGTCCCGCATCTTAGATAACCCCTGTTCGACCTGCCAGCATCCTGAATAGCAATGATTTGTGCTACTGATGGCTGGCCTCACAAGGTTTAGTGGTATCGTAAAATTTCACACACTCTAGGACAGCCTTCCTCTGATCTGATGCAGTCCAGATATATTGACTCCAAATTCACTATAGTCATATGATAAAACTACTAACAGGATTGTAGTCCAACCATGTAGAGGGTAACAGATCAGAGAAGGCTGCTTTAGGCCGTCTTTTCTGAGAATCCTAGCTAAAATATGTTTATTGCACCAAGGCAAGTTTCAAGTTTTATGCTGTGAATTTTTTTCAACAAAGGAATGTACAACACTGGAAGATTGAATTCTCACTGCAGCCTCCAATATGTTTGTAAAATTACAGAGCTGGGGGTGAGGGGTGGGTTGCAGCTCAGGAGGGAAAGGGGAAATCTCATTTCATGCACTTGTGTGAGTGTGGATGTCGTTCTGAACATTGAAGCAAACAATTTCATCCTTTGCATTTCCATGCAGCTGTCTTCAACCTGTATCTTACATCATCTTGTTTTGCAGAAGCAGTAGGGGTGCTGAGGCCATGCTGAGTGAAACTGAGACCTCCGTTCACCGAGCTCTCCAAAAAGTGTTGCTGCAGTTAAGCTCACAATCAACTCCTTTAAACTCTGTCCAGATATGGAGAACACAGGTCTGTGCTTGGTATTAAAGCATGAGATTCTGATTAAGAAGAGTGAAGTGATTCCTGTTCCCTTTTGCCACCCCTTCCCTTTTGAGAAAAAAAGCAGCACAAGAGATAGCTATGCTCATTTAACACAAGGAACACCTAAACAAAGAGTCTCAAGAGGCCTTGAAACTAAGCATTGTTATTATAACTTAAAGACTTGATGAGAAAACTACTATAAGCTCAATTAAGCCCATTCACAATAAAAAAGGAACACTACTGTTGTTTTCTGTCCTCTTTTTATTAACTCTGTGAACTTTTACATAGAAGTAAAATACTGAGTTTTTCAAACTTGTAGATAGTTTATTGCTGATAGTAATTGCTGATGGGTAGTTTCAATAAGGATTCACATCAAAAAAATTTTTTTATACATTTAGTATTTTACACATGGTACCCTCAACTTTTGTTTGTAAATAGTGATCAGGAAAGCAAGTGTATATGGAAAATATTACTGAGAAATAAACATAGATATTTTGATTTTATAAAAATCCATGTTTCATAATATTGATCTACTAGTCATAACCCTGGTGCTATTTAGCTGAGTATATATTTCAGATAGAAGCTAAAAACACTGGTGGTATATTTACCAGGATTTTGCTTTCAGCGTTAGGAGTTATGCATATCTGAACTTATATAAGTTTGTATGAAATTCAGAAGAAATCACTGAACTTATTTCCTCACATTGTTTTTCTCTTCTGCTTCAAGAGGTTGAATCAGACTTTCTCCGAAGTGTGCATGCCCTTCTTCGGGAACTTGATGGCCATCATCCAGCCTTCCAGAGTGAGAGAGGTAAGATCACTGCAACTGATTGCCAGCCTTCCAGGAAATCAGTTACTATGTGCTTTACCTCCATCCTGCCTACCCAAGCTAGAGAAGAGGAAAGCTTGACTGTCCATGCTAGGATGATGTTCAGTTGGAATTTGTTTTTGGATACTTTCCTTGGTGAAATACCTGCTCAAATGATGAAGTAGCTGATCTGATCCCAGATGACACATCTCTGCCCATTAAATTCTTCCTTATTAGCAGTAAAACTACAGGGAAGGAGCCATTGCTCATTGTCAAAGAACATGCTTTGTAAAGATGATAATCTCCATTTCTGTTATCTGTAGTTGAGAGACTTCAGGCAGCAAGATAGCAGAAAGACCTTTGCCTAAAGAAAGGAGAACTGCCAAATGGGCTAGGTAGGACACTGATCTAGTTCACTGTGTGGATTCCTAGCTGGTTTGGCTCAATGTATGTAGGAATAATTGACCCACTTAGGCTAGGTTCACACAGCATGCTTAACTGGATCACGAGCAGTATTAGTCTCATATGACCAGCTGAACCTGGTTTATTTCAACCTAAAATAGCTCTGGAGTTGTCTGGGGACAAACTGACTTTCCTGGTAAGCTGTATCCTGTGAACACAGAAGAGAGGTTTAACAGAGGGTTAAACCACTCTTCTTACCACCAACACAGAAATGAAAGTGTATAGCAAAACCAGGGCTTCTCTGGGAACTCATTCTCTTTATTATTTTCATCCCCATAGCCAAATGGGGCAGAAAAAAGACATGGGAATAGCTAAGCTTCTGTCCACTGTGTCTTGACTCCCATTGGGCCTCCATGGATTTCTTCCCAAGTTTTTCAGAGGAAATTTTTAAAAAGCAGCAATAAGTGACAATCTCACTGACTTTCTATGAAGATAGCCACTCTGCGTCTTTGGTCATCAGTCATCAGTTTACAGCAGTGAGGTATTTGCCTGGATTGTGTTGTGTGAATATAACTGCAGCGAAACACTAATGACAGAGCCTGATGGTCTCCAACCACGGTCAATATCCATTCCCCTTAGCTTTTTTTAGAATCTGTGTTATACTGCCATTTGTATGACAGGGCTATTGCTGTTCCATAGCATTACAAATGCTGTGCTGGTTAACTTGAAGTACTGAAGTTAAATGGAGGCAATACAAGTGTTTTTGTTTGGATTTTCCTTTCATGTAATACTGCAGCTTTTAAAAAACATATTGGAAGCAGATTCCTATCCTGAGTGGAAATAAATACCTCAGTTTTAAAGACCATAATAAATGGTTAATATGGTTAATTGAACTGAAAACTAATGATCACATAGATGAGCCCTTACCTGTGAGACATACTGAAAGACACCTACATCCTGAGTGGAGAGTTTCTCCTGACCATATTACAATCCAGCCTTTCCTCTTCTATCAAGTCCACTCCTTCCCTTCTATTTATCCCTGAATTAATGAATGAAACATTAACAGATACTTTGACTTTGATCTCACAGGGATGCTGAGATGGACCTTGCACAAGAAAATTGACCGGAATCCCCAAAATGGAATCCTCTGGATTAAAATTTTGGTGAAAGAACTGGAAAGAGTAAGAATGAGAACTACTGTGGTATAGTAGTAAAGGTGTTGGACTAGGACCATGGAGACCTAGATCAAGTCCACCTTCAGCCATGGAAACTCACTAGGTGACTTTGAGCCAGTTACTCTCTTGTAGTCCAACCTACCTCACCAGGTGGTTATTGTGGAAATAAAATAAAGGGAGATTTCCATGTAAGGTGCCTTGATCTCCTGAAGAAAAGGTCAAATATAAATCTAACAAACAAGTAAATAGGTAAATGACCCTAATTTAGGGTTGGGAGTAGTCTTGGTAGCACATAAACAGGCTTGATCATGAATATAAAACTGTGTTTTATAGCTTGGTCCTTGTTCTTCTGGATTTAGAAGGAATCAAATTAGCTTTCTGTCAGGAACCTTGGGCATCATAACCTCAGAGAGATGTTAACAATGCTGTCTTATCTTGAAGCTGATACATGGGAATATCTTCTCTGCTGTCTCTTCCTTAGCTAGGGCAGGAGTGAACAACCCTTGGCCTGTGGACCACATGCAGCCACTTCCCTAAAATTGCACTGCTGATATTCAGTCACAAATTGTGCAAATTCAGTCCACTTTCCATCCATTTTTCTAAAAAGAAACAACAAAATAGTCTAACCTAAATTTGACTGAACAAATTTATCTTACTTTTCAAAATCTCTCAAGCAAAAATTAAGGAGACAACAATTTTGGTCCTATCTTCTCTGTGGTTGTCAAGTTCCTAAAAAAATATTTTTAAAAATGTAGCCCTTGGCCACTGCTCTAGATTAAAGTCTCACCCATTCCTTTCTTTAAGAAGCAAAACAAGACATGCTGCTTGCCAAATCTCAGTGTAAAATGCAGCATTGCACTCTTTGAGGTCAACAGTGCATAGGATCAACATTAATTTGCAGGTTCATTTCCTTTCTACTTTATCTCAGTCTTATCCCACCTCCCATGATCTCTGCAGGGCTGACTGGGGACCAGCCTTCCTTAACTGGTATCCTCTACTCTCTATCTTGCTGCCTTTGCTCCTTTTCATTCCTAGCCCTCAACCCTGAGAGAGCAAATGATCTTTAGTTTGGCTGGAGGCAGATAATAGTCTTTTCCTAGAATTCTGGCAGGCCCATTTGTACATTCATTCCACAGTTTCTACTGAAAGAAAATCTTCAATGGTTTTGTAGAAATTCAAAATTTAACTTTGTCAGTGGGAAAAGAAAATACATTAAGATCAACTCTGCCTTTGGCACACTACTTTCATTTTTCTAAAAATCTTTGTCTGTTTACAGTAAATCCTTTCATATGTTTCATTATTAAGAAAGCTGTTTGTCTTAGTTTCCTTGTCTGTTCAAATACTATTCAACAGAATACATTAGCTTATACCTCCTCTGGTTGTGGGATACATGTCTAGCTCCTTCAAACTTCCCTTTAGATTTTACATACATTAGCTTTCATCCCTTTGCCACCTTTTTTCAGACTGTATCAGAATAAAAAAGACACTATGTACTAAACAGCAAAGCACGAGGGGTCTCAGATTTTCCTCTAGTTGTAGTTTATTATTTCAAAAGTGTTGCTGCTGCAGTGCTTTGGCTGCCAGCCTTCCTCTCTTCTGTGATTTTGTGTTGGCAAACTTTGCCTCTCTTCATTTTAATTCATTTGATGATTAAATATTCATCAGAATATTTAAAATATATTTTAACACAACTGTTTGCTTCTTCCAGGCAGAAAGATGTAACCATCGGAAGTATATCATCCCCCTGCTTCACACACTGATGTATACACTGATCAAAGTAAGAACCCTATTTCTTGGGACTGGAACATCCCAGGAATTCAGCACTGGGACTGATGGGTCAGAATGCGCTGATATCAGGCATTAATTTTGGCATGAGGACCTGGACTCAGTTTTAAGGGCAGGAACTTATAAAGGATAGTTTGTTTTATTGCTATATATATGATATGCTCATTACTAAGAAGAGAGCCAGTTTGATGCAGAGGTTAAGGCATCAGGCTGGAAACCAGGAGACTGTTGAGTTCTAGTCCCACCTTAGGCATGAAGCCAGCTGAGTGGTCTTGGGCCAGTCACTCTCTTTCAGCCCTAGGAAGGAGGCAATGGCAAACCACTTCTGAAAAACCTTGCCAAGAAAACTGCAGAGACTTACCCAGGCAGTTGCCAGGAGTCAACACCACCTCAAAGGCACTCACCCTCCCACACACACAAATTACTAAGAATCCAGAGATTCTGATCTTCTTGGGACAAGAAACAGAGCTTTGTAAGGATGCACTGGATACTTGCATTGACAGATACAGATAATAGAATGCAGTATATTTATGAATGACCATGCTGGTCCCTACTGTGCACTGTATTATTCATTATGCCCATGGGAAAAGAAAAGGGAAAAGGGAAAAGAAAGGAACAATAACATTGATTCTGTGATGGTATTTAGATTATCAGTATGTTACTTATAAATAGGGATGTTATAACCCTACCTTCTGTTGTCTGCACATGTTTAACATAACTAATATCTGCAGCAGAAGTTCTTATACCTTTGGAGAATTAAATTTGTTCCTTATGAAGGGATGCATGAAATAAAAGTGTATAATACCAGGAAATATAAATCATACTTAGCTAAGGAAATAGCTGGAACAAAAACATGAATACTTTATCATATACAGAAGGGAAGCTTCACAAACAAGCATTATATGAACTTTCCATATTTGGGGGTTTTCTAAAAAAAAAAAAAAAAAGTTGGGATATAATTGAAATTAGAAGCTTTATCCTACTACTTGGAGAATTGGAACTCTGTTCATAGCCAGAGCCAGTCTTCATTTTCAGCTTGTAGCATCCAACCTTTGCATGACTATTCAAAATAGAACCAGAAGTTCAGATAGGCAACTGCCTTTCCCTGATGACTTGCCCTCTAGAACTGGAAAGAGGAAGGTTTCTTGATGCCGGCCAGTATTCATAAATCCTGTTTCCCTGATCTATAGAAGATAGCTTTTCAAAGATAACTGTCAGCGAACACTTGTCTCACTGAGGAATCCACAGGTGTGGTTCTTCTTAGCCTCTCTCCTTCCCTCAATCTGATTCCTTGCTGCACGATTGTCCATTGAATGCCTTTCTTGATTCGGCTCATCCAGCTTTTGTCTAGGTCTTCTTCATTCAGTCTTTTAGTTTTGTATGCATGAATTCCAGACGGATTCTTCAGTCTGAGGTAGAGTCTGTAAAAAGTAGTTATATTCTGTAGCTATGGATATGTAAGTCCTAAGCTTTTTCCACTGCAAGATAAAAAAAAATGTAGAAACTTAGAATTAACTTAGCCATTCTTTGGTATTTCCAGGTGCCTTATGTATCTGATGACCTATATGAGAGGGTCTATGATTTCTGCAAGAAGTTGCTTACTTTGCCCAAGCCTTTCTGTACTATTGGTTTGGATTATGCTTGTCAGCTGAAACTAGAACGGGCAAGACCAGGTAGGCAAGTTTTATTTATTTGTTTTAGTTTGTTTTATTCGTGATAATGTTTATTTATTAACAAATACATAAAATTAGCATCAAAGGAAAAGGGATCAGAAAATATGGGAGAATTATTATCCTTTATATATGCAATGATCCATGGAACCCTCCCCAAGAATGCTTCATGAATAATGCAGGAAGATTGCACAATAAAAGATTTATCTGTAAGCATACTTAATGCTTTTGTTAAGACTGCTTTAAGATTATTCCCTATTCAAGCAGTCCAGTAACTTGTGTTTGCAGTTTTGAAGTTTATTTCCTTAACCAACTGGTTATAGAATTAGTGGCATCAAAATCAGACCATGAGCATTTGCATTTTGATTGCTGTGTATGTGTTTATCCATTAGGGATATTATACCAAAGGAAAGTCTCTGCAGAACAAGGTCTCAAAAATGACTCATTCCCTTATCAGGATAAGTAAGTATTCTGCTTCCCATGTCCCTTTTGAACGCGCCAATTTAATTCATATATTCATCCTAAAATTAGCACTTTGTATCATATAATGGGGCAGTAAACTCAAAACTATATAAAAAAGTCGGGTCCTGTATAGTCATCTGACTGAAAGAAGTTTGCAAGTTGTTTATTCCCAAGTTTTTAAGTATGCTTTGTATGTATATGATGTTACATGTTTGTTGCAGAAGAACATCAGTCTCACTTTTTAAGACATCTTTACTCTGATTTCTATTAATTAAGCTTTGTTAAGTTGTAAATAGATTTATGATTTTTCTTTCAGAGTTCTGTTTTTCCTTCTGGTGCTGTTTAGTTGAAGAGCCAGTTGTTACTAAGTTGATTGTGATAAAAAGTTCATATAAAAATGAATTGCCAGAGCAAAAAATCCAGTGTCCACGCCAAGATGAAACCAACTGAAGGGACATTAATCTTACTGAACTTACTGAATTTTATGGAATTAAGCATGAAACTGATTGGTTGCAGAGCTTTTTAGTTTCCCATGCAGACTCTTGGATTCACTTTCATATCTGCAACTAATAAGTTCAGCTTATGTAATATATATTAACTCTTCATTTCCTCAGGATTTTCATGTTTATTGATCCAGATTTGCTCTCTGGGGCTGTATGCCAGGCACTAGTTAATGAAATCAAGGCTGCTCAAATGTTCCAGTGTGCCAGGTCCTGCATGATCTATGTGATAGCACATGCCTTCCAAACAGGGCTGAAGGAACACTGTGATATGAGGAACTTGCATGAAGTATTTCAGGTATTGTAAAGAAACAAGAATGTTTTGGTTTCGTAGACTGATGCTTCACTAAAGTAACTAAAACTCCTTAAAACAACAGTTTCACACTAAATAGTATAGATGGAGACATTCTAATTCACTTTCCTCCCACCTGGAGTGCTATATCAAGATTGGCTTCCTTTATCAGTCCATAGATAGATCTTATATATGTGCGTGCTGCTCAGGGTTGCCCAAGAAAGAGACATAGAATATAGAATAGCCTTCCCTTACCCTCTTGGACATCAACTCACATAATTCTCAACTGGGAATTGTGGAAGTTGAAGTCTAACATATCTAGAAGCTTTTTGTTTTTTAAAGAAAAAGAAATATATGGGAATACATGGAAATAAGAGACTACATTTTTTTCACTTTATGTTAAAAAAAAAAGTTGGACTGGGAAATGGAAACAAAGCCAGTAATCTTACAGATAAAAGACTGATTCTTGGAAATGTGCTTTTTTCCTGCAAACATTTAGCCCAAGTAGAAGCTTTGTTGATATTTAGCCACAGATCTGATACATACTCTGAGCTCTAGATTTCTTGAAGCTAAACTTCACAGTAATAAAAAGGAGCTGCATTGCAAAAGGTTTAAGTTGCCTGCTTCCATGCATACATTTTGTGAAATAAGCATTTTTATAGCTTCAAACTGGAACTATTTTCTGTAAGATCTTATAATGGCCGAGAAAGGCAGAGAATTAGGTCTGGAATGTCTTACTGATATAACTGAAAGTTTGATATCACACTGCATAAAATGTAGCAGATTTTGCATTATTGAGTACAGTGCTACAATAAGGGTTGGCTTTCTGCATTAAAAATGTTCCCAACTTCTCTTCAACAAGCCTTGATAAATAACAGGGCAATCCTAAATATGGTTAAGGAAAATAATGAAATGGTGAATCCATTACACCTTCCAAAGCCCTGCTGAGTTAAAGTAGGAGATTGTCCTTAATAGGACTTTAGCTTTTCTTAGTCCATCACCTCCCTCCACATTTGGGGAAAATATTGTTGTATCTGTTTCAGCTAGTGAAATCAAGAAGTCTAATGCTGTCCCCATTTCAAGAGATCATATGGGTTTTGCATCCAGTGTCTCTATAACTTATATCATCCTCCAAACACACTGTTAGTGTTTGTGGGGCATATAAACTAGCACCTTCTGGGTTATTGGGGACAGAACCAGTGGCATCTGTAACAACCATGATAATACTAAAATAACATGCATGCAATGATATTAGCACACAAATGCAGCAATTATGTACTTGCATCATAAAATTTGCATGACTCATGGTGTTTCCATGATTGCATCACTCATGAGTCATCATTTGCCTCTCCTGCATACACCCACAGACAACGTATTCTCACTAGAATAGCTCATTTTGTAATTGGGAAAGTGTTCCTGCCCCATGCTAAGCTCCTCAGCCAACAAATCAATTTTTTTTGCAAATCAAAACTTTCCAATAATTTGGAATCATAGAGTTGCAGGGGGCCACTTAGGCCACTGAGTCTCACTACCCAGTGCAGGAATCTGAATTAAAGTAGCCCTGACAGAAGGCTCTCTAGCCTCTGCTTAAACACATCCAAACAGGGGAGCTCAACACTCCACTGGGAAATTGGTTCACCTGTTGAACTGCTTTTTCTGTTAGGAAATATTTTATAACATTCAATTAGGAATCTGACTTCCTCTAAGTTATATCCATATTTGTGTGTCCTGCACACTAGAACAAGAAATAAGTGTTTCTTGTCCTTCTTCTGTGTGATATCCTTTCAAGTATTTCAAGAATGCTATTATATGCTTCTTTTTCTAGGCTGAGCATATTTAGCTTTATCCATAGGAGTCAGTTTCTAGTCCTCTGGTCATCCTAGTTACCCTTCTCTGAACATGTTCTCGTTTCTCTGAATCCTTCTTAAAGTGTGATGCCCAGAAATGGACAATACTTGAGGTGGGGTCTGACCAAAGCAGACTAAATTATTTCCTATGATTTGTAAACTGTATTTCTGTGGATGCAGCATAAAATTGCATTTACCATTTTGGCAACCACAGCACACTGCTAATTTATATTTAATTTCCAATCCACTGTTACTTAATCTTTTTCACAAGTACCATTTATATTTCTAGTACCACTGGCTTTCATTGGATTACCCTGCTAAGTAAACAAAACAACATTTTTATGAAGGGTAAATTGTACAAAATTCCATTCCACAAGTATTTGTGTCATTGAGACCTGATTGGTTACATTATTAATGCATCTTAAAATCTCCTCCTAAAATGTTTGTATTCAAGGATGTAATCACCAAAAACGGACAGGCATACCTGTCCCTTGATGCCCCCTTCGTGTTTGGTTTGAAATTGGTTTCTATCTTGAAATTAATGCCAATAAGAATTTAATTATGAAGCTTCAACATTATATTACTTTGGAATAAGCTCTATTAAACTTAATGGGAATTACTTTTAAATAAATGTGGATAAATTTGCTTTTCAACAAGCCATAATTAAAACAAGGAACTGTTTATTATTTAACATGACTTAGTGGACAAAGAGAAACTTACAAAATATGAAGATATTGTTATCCCTAGTTATAAAAAATAGGCTTTTTTCATCAGCATATTTCTGGGAAAAAATGAAACAACCCCTGTTGTCACATTACTTCCAGAAATATGTCAGTTGTGTCAAGTATTCCATGTTCACACCTGCCTAGTGAAAGATTAGTTTTCTACCTAAGCACACCTAAGTATTATGACACAGTAGGGCTGTATAAAAATCTGCTTACTTGATGATTGAATGAAGCTGAATATGTTTTGCAAGCCATGAATTTCATTTTAGGAGTTCCTAAAACCTAATTACATCTTTACGCTTTGATAGGCAAAGTCCTTAGAGGAGATTGAACACTGTTTCCAAGAAGTTATGGCAGCCACTGAACATGCAGGTGAAGAGATGAATGTGGAATATAGTCGATATGTTGAGGAACTTGAGAACATCTACAGTACACTGCTGAATTCTTCAGAGAGAGGTAAGTGCAGCGTTCTGGGATGAAGAGGTTCTTGGTCCTGAGCTGTTCTTACGAAGGAGTTCTGGGAACCTGTGATACCCTCTTCTGCATGCTTTATTCCTCACAGCATGTGCAGCAGTATGAGTATGCACAATGAAAGGGATCATTTCTTCATTCTGTTCCTTATATGGAGATTTACAGTCCTTGGCAGCAAAAAGCAACAATGTCAAAATCAGTCCCATAAGAACTATATTTTTTTTTTCAGAAAAAGAAAGCTAAAACAGCAAATTGCTAATAACAGCTGGACACAAGCTAGTAACAAGGGGCAATTGGTTATGTATTCCGACCCTCAAATCTGAGTTTCTTTCTCCCTCTCTAAAAATGCTGCTGCTTGTAACTGTAAAATAGCTATTCATCTGACATTTATCAGATCTTTCTGTGTAATTTTTCTACATGAGCATCATTTTAGAGAACTAAATGTGAGGTTCCATAACCCAATGCAGAGCAAATACCAGCCATTCCCACATTCACATTTTCACATTTCTCTTATCTCTTTCTAGGACTTTATCTGTTTTCCTTGCCTGGCCAAAATTATAGCCTGAAAGTGATATGTAAACAGCAAGATTTTTATATTTTACAGGGGTGAAGAAGTCTTCAGTAGACAGAGGTTCAGACATCCCTTTACCCAACCCTAAAATCAGCTTCCATCTGTGGACTGATGAAGACCAACTTTGTAAGTGTCTGAACTCTGACAGGAATTATGGAACTATAGCTACAGGCAGAAGAGTAAAACTGTTTATGGTGGATTCCCCACTAGTCTGTTGTGGTGTTTTCTAGACTCAGCTAACCATCACTGTGTTGATATAAAGGTAATGACAATAGGCTTTATATTATCTCAGTGATGGCTGGGTGATGGTAGGGGGCCCTATAAGTCACTGGGGGCAGGAGGAGATAGCCACAATCTCATCCGTTAATTCTTTGATTCTGACAGAGAAGCAGGGCAACCTCAGCAGGCAGAGTGCTTGAGAAGATACATGAACAAGGAAGCTAAGAATCAGGAAGTTATTTACTTGAAGGAAGCTTTGGATGCAAATAAATTATGTAACAGAAAATAAGCAAACAAATAAATAAATGACAGATGGCATATCCATGTCGATAGCTGGGACATAAAGAAAGCCTTTCCAAGACTTGATGGTGTAGCATGAAAAGGGAAAGAAAACTGGGATCTATTGATAGATCTCTGAGTGATTTCACTTCCCCAGGGACTTAGAACAGTGGCTTGGATTTTGTATGAAAATGAATAAATAGGCTTAATTTCCCTGATACAAGCAATGAGTTAAAAAAATAGCATCTTAAACTGCACATTTGAAGTGATTGTGTGGGGCAGTCATATTCACCATGTTTTATTCTGCTGTATTTTTTGTGTGCTCTTTATCAGTTAATTGTATTATAACATGCAATTATTGTACAAAAGCAGCTCATCAGTTTTTAAAAATGAATACATGTTTGAAAGCTTGCCACATTTTTAAAGGAGCAAAATTAAATAAAAAATAAAAGCAAACCTTTTAAACCTGTGAATATGGCCTAATTACAAGTAAATCATTATTTTAAAAGTTTATGTTAAATGGCTGCTTTTATTTGGAATAAAATCAGTTCTAATTAGGATTAGTGCCCCATTTTGATTACCTTTCAGAAATTCTCCATGGCTGTTTTTTTGTCCCTCAGATGTACTGTTTACTGCAAATAGCATTTTTGTAGTAATTGCTGAAAGTGATTTTCAGGGGGGAAAAATCTTGTGCCTGTGATTAAGGTTAAGACAGATTGTGACTGGTGTAGCAATTTTTTCTTCATGATAAAAATGGACACTTAAAACCACTTCCTGTTCATTGTAACTTGTACTTTAGCCCATAGAAAGGTATCATATCAAGGCTAGCCTTCTCCCTAACATTTAACTTTCTATATCCAGGTAGTTTTTTATTTTTGAATATGAGGGACTTGTTAAAAACGTACTCATCCAGCTGCATTCTGAAGTTTTATAGTTCCAAAAGAAAGACATTTTTTTTCTGCTGAACATTTTTTTAGCTCTAATCTTCTGAAGGAGAAAGGTATTAAGGGTTTTGTTGGCAGCATGTCCCTTACTTTAAATTTACTTAAGTTACCTTCCTGAACCAAGGCTTCAGCGTAGGAATGTGAGCAAAATCTTTATTTTGCACAAGGGCCCATTGTGTGCTGGCTTCAAGCTTGTGATGGCTTTCTGGAAATCTCACACTATCTTCTCATTTTAGGGAAAGAGCTGGTGCAGTTTCTCCGTTCACCAAGTCAGTCTGGCGAACAGGATTCCCTGAGTCCGGGACTGGATGGCTTTGAATTTCAAGATCTGGTGCCGGAGTATGACTGCTGTGAACAGACACGCTTCTCTGTGCTCTCCAATGACAGTGGCATTGAGCGAGACTTGCCCCCTCCGGCTGACGATGTGCCATCTTCCTGCAGTGCAGAGACTGAGCACTCCCGACTCCAGAGAAAGGGTTGTGTGCGGAAGAAATATGCAGATAGTGTAGCTTTGCTTCAGAGCAATTGCAGCGGGCAAGGTGCAAAGCCAACTGGGAAACTGCACCGGAAATCTGGTGGTAGTACCATGGAGCCAATAGTTAAACTGAAAAAGCTGCATACAGCTCGTATCTTGGTGCTGGGTGATGACAGAGTTCTGGGGCGCCTTGCCCAGGCCTATCACTCCTTGAGGTTAGTATTGTATAATGGAGCCGTCACTCCAGATTCTTTCTCCTCAGGAAACAATGAGGTAGCAACTAGGGGACTATGTAGACCATATTCACACAGCACATTAAATGTAATTTAGCAGTAACCCTGATTAAAACGCTCATCCAGAGAACTTGCTGCAGGTGAGATAGCAAACAATGACTGGCCATTATTTGCCAACTGCCTTTCTCTTTTTTATTGGTATTCCAGCAATCTTCCCATGACTGGCTAGCCAACCTTTTCTGGCTTGCTTGCTTCTCTATTTTTGCAAGCTGTAACTGAAGCTTACATTGCCTGGTTGGGAATGAATGCGTTGTGTATGAGATAGGAAAGAGTATCTTTTTCTTCATTTCTTTGTTTGCAAAATGGAACGCCTGCATGCCCACAAGGAATGGAAGGAAAAAACTAGCTATATTTGCAGGAACAATTCTGCTTTGTAGCCTTATGTGATTTTCCTGGAGGCCTCATCATAAACTAACCATTAGTATCTCAGTTAACTACTAAGAGGCCATGGTTTCCTATTCAGGCAACATAGTGAGCCAGATGATAGTAGATTCAATCACAGCACAGTACTTTTTACTGCTCCACAAAAGGAAATTAGTACTGTTTCCTAATTACTTAACTGCTTTATTTCAAATTGGCATATTTCCTTTTATTAGCACATGAGCTGAAAAGGTGGTAAGTGGATTTTTTTCTACAACTTTGGTGGCATAAACAAATCATAATGAAAAGATTAGGCTAATGAGTCATCCTAGCAAGCTTTAAATTATGAAGTGCAAAAAATAATAATAAAATGATAATCCCCTTTCATATAAAATAAAGGTGCTTTTTATTCAGTGAAATATATTCCCCTTCAACTCCAGCAGAAGAAAAATATGGTATGGCAACAACTAAGGCATCTTACCCATGCTCTGTTCTAAAAGATTAATGCTGGAGTGGATGTTGCTCCTTGTTACAATAAGTTATCACTCATCCTAACAAGTCTGTGGACATGATATTCCTCAAGTGGTTAGTCCTCAAAGGAAAAGGTTTACAATGGGATTGCAGTATCTCAGTGGAGTGGGTAAAATCTTTTCGCACACTGCAGAATGTAGTGTATGTGTTGATCAATTGTCATATTGTGGCTAGCAGTACAGGGTCCTATGAGGCTTGGCAACATGAGTACTTGTGTCCCCCCCCC